AAATGGCTTCACTACTCTCACTTCAGAAAGAAGAATGTCAGGTCTGAATCTAAATAATTAGGCTTCACCTCCAAAACAGTTACTCAAAGTGGATTGTAGTCAACAAATACAACCCACAGCTGTGCTATAGTGCCCAGAAAGGTGAATTTTCCATTCCAAATCTCTCTGCTGAAATTTAATATCACATTAAGCTTGGCACTGAGCAGTTAACACTTACTTTAAGTCCCTGTCATCTCTAGGTCACAAACAGTGATCAGAAGTGAGAGCCTGCTCCTGGTTTCCCTTATACAAAGGGCCCTGTTTTACAGTATTTCGCCTTATGGTGTTCCACTGATATGAACATTTCAAATTATGATCAAAACTCGCTATACGGCTCACCCCACCTGACCAATACAGTCACCACGCACCACCTAGTTTACATTCTCCGTGAGCTCCACGTCTCACCAGAATTTCAAGTGTTTTAAAATTATTTCATATTTTATATATGCAGCCTCTCCTCACTTAACGACGGAGTTTCGTTCCTAAGACCACGTTGGTAAACAAATTCGTCGCTAAGTGAGGCATGCTATAATGGTAAGTCTGTGTCAACTCTCTTTGATATTGCTTTAATGTTACCATTTATAACATTTCTGGTATATATTTAAATGTTTATACAGTAGTGTACTGTATATTGTAATAAACAGAATAGAGGAATTCAGCTCACGAGACTGAGCTCATGACAGCCGACAGTGGCTTCAAAGTCACCTTTCTTTAATGGACAATGTACTGTGTAGGTGCTTTACACAACGAGAAGCATTTCTTTTATTCATTGGATCCATGGCTAGGGCTAAAAGTAAGCAGGTTATAACAATAAATGGAGAAAAAGAAATTGGAATGACTTATGCAGCAAGTAGCGCCACCAAACAGTACCAGCAGGTTGGTGTGGTGACCCTGGAAATTTGAAATTATGCTACTGAAATTAGTGCCGAATAACTGATGGAACCAGATGTCTGATTGCCGGATTTGTGATGGCAGACCTGTAATGCATTCTGTCGCTCTAGGGCACTTTATATGTATATTACATGTGGGTGGGGTGGCCATACTTACCACACCTGACCTCTTACAATGTATTGTATATACATTTATATGCATTTCTCAGTGGGAAAAAATGGTGTTCTGTTTTCTGGCGGTAGCCTGGGACCTAACCTGCCATATAAATGGGGCCCTATTTTACTTTTGTAATACTTGAGAAAACTGGCTACCATAGAAGGGAGGGATATAGCTACACTGGACATGTATATTTAGAAAACTTCATAACATTAACTCATCCATCCTGCCAGCATTTTCCCATTTTCTTGTGCCCTTGTAGGTAGATTTTTTCACAAATGGTTTGTCTCCAATTTTTTTTTTTTTTGTTTTGTTTTGTAAGTGACTGGTTGCATGGCTGAAAGTGAATTCTCCTTGTGGATTGTTGTAGTTGCAACCAGAATGTATTGAATGCTTGGAGACAAAAACAGTTTATTATGCCAGATGAGGCACACAAATGTGCAGTATTAGAATATCTTAATGAGGAAACTTTTTGCCATGAATGGCTTATTCAGTCCTCATTAAAATATCCTTTTCTTCAAGTGGGGTTTCTTACCATGGTGAAGAGGCTCTTGATGGAAGGAATTGGGCCTTTTATTCTTCCTCAGACCAAGCCTAAATGCCTCCCACTCCTCTTTTTCCCATCCCACCTCCTTTCCCCATATTCCCCTCCCCTCGGATATTATAGCTCCTGGGTCATGGAAAGAGAATCGCTGTCCATCCTATTCCAGTGAGGCCCTTGGTGGTGGTGGTGTTTGCTGTGAAATCTGGATCGTCTATGGATGTGCTGATTTGCCTTCCGGAGTTCCTGAGGGCAGTTTTAGGAATCTTTAAGGTGACAGGTGTATCTCTGGAGGTTCCCTATTGGTTCCAGGAGGTGGCAGCTGAAGGACCCAGGGTATTCCATGCAGCAGGTTTCTGACCACCCTCTCTCTTGTCTGCCAAGGTGGCTTGGTGGATGTGAGGTTGTTATCCTGGATTACCAGTTTACTGGCATGAAGTGTAGGGTAGGGCACAGATTCTATGCAGCAACTGCACTGCCAACTATGCCTTACCTTACCTTTACCTTTGAAGAGTTTTGAGAGTTAATCTACTCTCTGAGCCTGGCCATGGGCCAGGCTTTTCTGGTGCTTGCCTGGTCAATTAGGCTGTTGCTGCTGGAGGTCCATTGCCCCACATATCCATCACAGCCTGGTTGATCTGGCACCTGGTGAAGATACTTGTCCAGTTTCCTCTTGAAGGCTTCTACACTTGTTCCAGCCATGTTTCTGATATCTTCTGGTAAGATGTTGAATAGTCTGGGACCCCGAATGTTGATACAGTGTTCTCTTATTGTCCCCCACTGCACCCTTGCTCCTTACTGGGTTTATTTTACACTTCCTCACATATCTCTCACTCGAGTATGTTGTTACGGCAGGTGCAGATTTGGGACCAGGCCCTCGAGTATTTTCCAGGTATATATTATCATGTATTTCACTCTCCTCTGCTCCAGTGAATACATGTTCAAGACTTGCAGGCGTTCCCAGTAGCTTAGGTGCTTTACAGGCTCAGTGTGAGACATAGACGATCCCTGTATTTGTTCCAACTCTGATATTTCTCCTGCTTTGAATGGGGCTGTCAGCACTGAGCAATATTCTAAGTGAGGGAGCACTAGCAGTTTGAAGCATGTCACCATCTGCATTATTTCCCTTGTTTTGAAAGTTCTCAATACACACCCCGTCATCTTCCTGGCTGTCGTGATCTTTGTTTTGTTATGGTCTTTAAAAGAAAGGTCCACTGACATAATTATTCCCAGATCTTTTACGTGTTCCTTATGTTCTGTTTGGTGACCCTCTTGAGTTTTGTATATAGTGTTCCTTTTGAGTTCTTCATTCTTTACATACCTAAGCATCTTTAACTTATCACCATTGAGCGTCATGTTGTTCTCCACTGCTCACTGGAAAACCCTGTTTATGTCTTCCTGTACTGTTTCAGTATCCTCTACCATAGTGACTCTCATGCTTATTTTAGCGTCATCTGCAAATGATGATACAAAAGTGTGCCGGGTGTTTTTGTCTATGTCTGCTATGAGGATGAGAAACAGCAGAGGTGCCAGGACAGTGCCTTGGAGCACTAAGCTTTTGACCTTGCCGACACTGGATCTTGCCCTGTTCACTACTACTTTTTGTGTTGTGTGTGTTAGGAATCCGAAAATCCATCTGCCTACCTTCCCTGTAATGCCCATGGCCTTCACTCCATTATCGCATTTGTCAAACGCCTTTGCAAAATCTGTGTAAATCACATTTAGGGTCCTCTTGAATGCAGAGGGGAATATATGATCTCTCTTTGTGTCTCCTTGAAGCTATCCCTCTGCAAACAAACACTTTTTTTTTTAAAGGGGAAAAACCTTATCATGGAAAGAGAGATCCATGAACTCCCTCCTCCAAGAGCATCTTCCTTCCAAATTACTATCAGCTGTATTTTCCACTGTGGCCACTACTCATGAGTTTAAATTTTCTGTTACTAAAACACATCAGATTACTTTTACAAGACGCTCTATTGTCTCTAGTACCATGTTATGCCTGTATGGTTCCTGTATCCCTGAATGAGATACGGTCCAGTTTCTCAGCCTTCTGTTTGATCAATGGATGTCCTGGAAACCTCTTATAACCTCCCTGAAAGCAACCTGCTGGCTGAATGTTTGGGGCAGTGAGCAGGTAGACTGGTGTGTGGTCAGCTGTTCATGACCTTATTTCATATAGGGGTATTCCATTCTCAGACTATTTTGCAGTAATCTGTAGACATTATCTCAACTGTTGGCAACAACAATGGTCTGAGTTGATCCATAACAAATTGTATTCTGTCAAACCTTGTTTGGTTTTCTGGTCTTCTTCTTATGAGTAAGATGCATGTCATACTCATGTAAGACACATGTCTTACTCATGGAGAAACACTCAGAGTGAAAACTGTCAGGCTCTGCTGTCATCACCACCCATTTACTTTAACCACCTCGCTGGCAGTCCCACTTTTGACGCAGACTTACCAACTTTGATTATATTTTCCCTTTAGCATTCCCCACTTCCTATACAGACTCTGCCTCTTCCATACTCCTAACCCTCACTGGGCTCTGATCTTCATATATTTCATCTTTAGCATATCTGACCCTGCAGTGCTGTATGACCCTTGTTGGTTTAATGCTTAATTTTGATTGTAATAAGGATAATTAAAATATCCTAATACTGTACTGCACATGTTTTATTTCTCAATTGTCTGTACTTTACACCATATCTTATTCTATATTGTGTCAGTTAGCATGTAGTGTACTGCATTTACTGTAGCATGTTCATTCCTTGTTTACAGGCCATTGATGTATCTTATGCTTTCATTAAAAATGGTATTAGTAGTAAAAATACATTGAATTTTTCTATCAGTACATCTCTGATTTAACCTGGGAGTCAGTTGCAAGGATATTATTATTATAATCAAAAAGAAGCGCTAAGCCACAGTTGCAAGGATATGTTTCCCATATAGTGAATCTTTTGGGAAGGCATGTGTGTTGCTACGTGCTTTAGTTTGCAATTTATATAAGCTTGGATAAGTCGGTTAAATTATACTGTACAAGCTTCAGCAGTTATTTTGAAAAATTGTGACCAAAGAATTTATGTGATTGTTAAGATAATAGTTTTAGATGTGACATAGATAAATGGATAAAAGTGGAAAAAAGGCTTTAAAGGTAATATAAGTAACTTTAGATATGCTAGACTTCATAATTATTGCCTGTGAAATGGAGAGCAACTGCAAGAATGATGTGTGCAACTAACCAATTCATCTTGTTGAGTGAAGTTTACAGGGATTATACTGTAGTTATATCTGTTAAGCAGCAGCTGTACAGTACATGAAATGCCCATAAACATAGTGCTTTGTGTATATAAAAATAATGTAACTGATTTCAACAGTATGACATCTATAGGTCAGAATTCCTTTATTTTTATTCTTGCTGTCTAACCATTTGATTGTCTTTCATTCTCATTTCTCTTTTGTGATGTTTCGCTTGCACTTTTCCTGTTTTTAACACGAATCAACTGTTGATATGAATTGGTACTATTCTCTCCTCCCTTGGACCAAACTTAACTTTCATTCCTACTGTGCTGTTTGGCCATTATAGGTTTACCTTCCCCGAAGAAAATGGGATGGCATCCTTTTTTTTAAGTGAATGCACTATAGAAGAGGGGGGAGCCTTCTGTAGTGTGATTGCCTCTTATTTCATTTCTTTTCCTTTCCATTTCCACTAGGTATAGTTCTCATATCCTAATACCACATGATTGCTGGCACCCAGTTTTTTTTTTCATAGTTGATTTCACCTGTTATACATTTAGGGTGAAAATCAGATCAAGTCTTGCCAGAAAAAAATCTGCCTCTTGTTTCACTTGTATATCAACTCAGAAACTTCATTGTTGGTTTTACTCTCCTGGTTTTTAGACTCCATGAGAGTTTTGGTTCTTCCAGTCAATTTACTTATGATTCTTCTGCTCTCTCCACTGTTCTCATTGTACTCCTCCCTTGCTCTTCTACTGTTTAGTGATGGATTATACAATACAGCCATTATAGTTTTTGTCTTGTTGGGCATTATTTTACCTGTTACATATCCTTTTAACCCATTGACTGTTTTGGTTGTATATATATATACGTCTTACAAGCCACTGTGTTTGACGTATATATACTCAAAAATTCTAGCGGCTTAAAATCGAGCAGGAGAAAGCTGGTAGGCCCACATGTGAGAGAATGGGTCTGCGTGGTCAGTGTGCACCATATAAAAAAAATCCTGCAGCATAATGAGAAAAAAAACTCCGACCATGTTTTTGGATTAAAATGCCGACTTTGAGGTGTATTTTCGTATATTATTATAATCAAAAAGAAGCTCTAAGCCACAAGCCGTATAGTTTTTATGGTTATATTCTCATTTTCGTAGTCACATTTGATAGAATGGAAAACATATTATAGAAATAGGGGTGATTTTGATTGGTTTTACTATGAAAAGGACCTTGAAATGGAGCTCAAAGTAGGGAAAATGTTGATTTTTGCTGATGTTCAAGAGTAAACAAATGATGTCATTGTCCAACTAGCCATTCTAATATGCAGTCATGAATGGGTTGATGTTATTTATACAATTATTACAATATTGCATTAGTCTGCATAATAGTAAATCTTCTATTTTTTGTTTGAATAAAAATTCAAAATAGAAAGCAAGAGTAATATCAGAGGGGCCTGGAGACATGACTGATGAACAAAGAAAATGTTATTTTAGAGCCAGGAATGTCCGCATTGTTCATTCTGGACCCTATTTTGATATTGGCATATTTTTTTTTTGGCCAAATTGCCAATTTCTGACCACTTTACTGGGTAGTTGAAATTGGTAAATGGGCAGTTTCTTGTACAGTTGATGGAACAAATGGAGTTCTAAAGAAATAGCTATGAGTTTGGTCAACTGGAACAATGGAATTAGCTGAAAATAGGGCTCAAATTGGGCGAAATCACCGATTTGTAAATATTGCCGAGGTCTCTAACTTCGCGAAAGCACAATTCTGTAAGTTTTTCATCAAATTTCATGCTTTTGGTGTCATTACCATCAGGAAAAGATTCTCTATCACTTCACAAATAATAATATATATATATATATTTTTTTTTTTTAAATATTTTGCGACACCAGGAGACACCTCAGGATTTGGGGTTTTGACAGTCAAAGGATTAAATCATGTGTCCAGGTCTCCTAGTTACTCAAATCTCCACTGATTTCTAATGGTTGCTGCTACCCTGTTTTCCTTTTCTTTTGTTATTTGATACTCCACTGAGAATATTACATTTCTGGCTATCCCTGTGAGTGTTATCTCCATAATGACAATATCTGTGTTTTCCTCCCTTTCTTTTTTGTTGGGGACTCCATGTGTGTTCAAATACCACACTGACTACTCTGTCACTGTTTGCCAAGCACTCTGTTTAATTTTGTGGAATTACATATTTGTAGCTGCAGGAACAGAACTTTGGTTGTTTTCCCATCCTTATAGATTTTCATTATATAACTTCAAAAATTTCCCATTGATATAGCACTCGCTAAATTAATTTTAGGGAGAAACTGAAATACTGTGTATTAAATTACAAAATTGTTTCTAGTGAGTGGTAGACCATTATAGTCATTTGTGTGTTATGAACCCTAGGCTTCATAAATTTTAATAACTGTTATACATAAGTTTTATCTTTTAACTATAATAAGTCAATCTTTAAATATAGTTTCTGTCACAAATTCCAAATTTTCAGGTTCTATGGAGAGGAAGATGAACTATCAATGGGTTGTGACGATGCCTTAGACTCAAGTGGAGGGAGCAGGAACACATTAGGAGTAGGAAGTGGGGGAGCCCTTAACAAACATTCTCCACTCTCAGCTACAGTCACTAACCTAGCTGCTGATCCCATGGATGTGGATGATGATTACCCTGATTATGCTGATTCAGACGATTACCAATATTGAAAAAAAATTATACTGACCGATTCTCATCCGAGAAATAAGTGATGATTCTCCCAGAGTGAACCTGAATGCAAAGTTTTGTATCATGTATGAATATTGTATAAGTAGACCCTTTAATAAGACAGTAGTTATGTTTACAAAAAATGGAGTCTTGCATAAAAATCTTGTTAAGCAAATTTAAGAACATATGGGCAAAACATGGTTGTGTTCCTGGGACCACCAGAAATGCCAAACCAGTTTTTTAAAATTCTTATTTCGTCAAAAATAATGAAGTTTTTGACACTTTGTTGTAGATGGTGTTGCTTGTTGATCTAGAATTATAGATTATATAAATCCTATAAAAAAAAAATTGGGGCCTGGGCAAAGCTGGTGTTTGACATAGTATACCATCTACTCTTTACAGAGAATATAGAGAAGGCTAATACCCCACCAATAACTTTTATTCACAATCTTCTTTCTTTCTTTCAACACACCGGCCGTATCCCACCGAGGCGGGGTGGCCCAAAAGGAAAAACCAAAGTTTCTCCTTTTTACATTTAGTAATATATACAGGAGAAGAGGTTACTAGCCCCTTGCACCAGATTCACAATCTTATCAGTATAAAATATGCAAAAAAGTAACAAAGAATTTTAACCTACCATAAATTCTTTATTTCTGTTGCTTTAAGTGTGTAAGAAGTGTTTGGGGATGGTTACATAGCTCAGCTGAACAGTAGACAGGTCATTTGTTAGCTGATGCCTCTCATAGATTTCACTGTATCTGCAATTTTCTTGTTTATAATAATAAGGAAAATTTTTATCCTACTGTATATTTATTGTTCTCCTACTTGTTAAGTGTTTGGAGATAGTTACATGACTACTGAGTGGTAGATGGCAGTTTGTGTTATCAGCTGATGGCAGTTGTACATTTGATCAGCTGATGCCATCACAATTCACTATACAATTTTCTCATTTATAATGATGACAAGAATGTTTTCCTACCTTTAATTTTTTGTTCTCTTGCTTATTGGAGATGGTTATGTGACTGCTGAGAGGAAGATAGCTGCAAGTCATTCATTTTATCATCTGACAGCCATGGGTTGGTCATCTGTTAAGGTTATTAGGGCCACTACAGCAAACACTGTATTGAGCCAGAGTCAGCAACTGGCTTTCCCCAGACCATATAAATATCTGAAAAGAAAAGTTTTCATGTCTGAGCCTTCTTTTAATATTTTTCATGGCATTCTATTCAAATTTATGCCTCAATTTCTGTGCTGTCACAAAAAAAAAAAAAGCTGTTTAAATATGTTCTATTTGAGGGTCTACTATACTAGTTAATAGCATTGATGGCAACTGCATATACAAAACTTTTGTCTTGTGGCACTGAGGTAGATCAGATATATAAAAATATATATATATATATATATATATATATATATATATATATATATATATATATATATATATATATATAATATATATATATAATAATAAAAAAAAAAGACACCAAAATAAACAAAGGTGTGATGGATCTTGATGTAAATCTGTGCCATTCAGTCAGATATGTGATGAAAGTGGATGTAATTTAAAAAGTATTTTTTTAATGCTGCTTTCTTTATGGTTCTTTGTAAATTTCTTGACAAATCTTTCAGTTCTTGGAATTCATTAACTGTACTGTATTCACATTTAAATTTAAGCTATAATGAATTATTTCATTTTCACACAGGTAATGTGTCATACAGATGATTTAATTTTTTTGTTAGTGAAACTGTGGTAAATGCATTTTTTGTATTTAGAATTAAATAGATTACTAGCAACACATTAAGCACAGTATTTGTAATTACCTATCACACTCACACTTGTTTTCTGTTGTGTAAATTACAACTTTATTTTGATCTGGTAATTGATCATGATGTAATTCCTCAAATAATGCCATATGTGTATTTTTGATATGTTAACCAGAATACTGAACATGTGAAACTTTAGTCTTTAACAGTAATGCTCATGTCATACATGTTTGCAGAATTGGATATGTAAATCTACAATATTCTGTTCAACTAGTTTCCAAATGTGGGTATTGATATGCATTGATTTTCACAAACATTATTATGATGCTCCCAAACTGGCTACATTAGAAAACAAATGTCTTGCAGCATGATCCTTCCCAACTTCATGTGCCAAGAAGCATGCTTAACTCATCTTGCTTGTGGATGCTGTACTCCTCTATGCAGACTTTTGAGCAAGTGGAATGGCAAACACGTCTCTTCAGTGTTAATGCATGAATGTCAGAAACCTTGAACCAAAGACATACCCAATAGTGAGTTTTTAAGTCGCAACAGAGACATCTAGTGACTGTGCATGAAAAATGCAGCTATAATGCTGTTTATCACTCAGTTTACAAGACACTTTTGATGTAAACATGTGTCTAACATTGGAATGTGAATTATATTGGCATATGAATGATCTTTGCTTAGATGTCAGTGCCAATAACCAAACATTTGTATTAACCTTCCAAGAAATGCTTGACAGCATTTGATAATGATCCCAAAATACTGCAGTGCACCATCAAATCATGTGGTGCTCTTACAACATGTTAAGTTTTATGTACCTTAAATTTTCCAGTGATTGTGTAATTAAAACATTCTCAAGGAATGTAAATGCGAGTTGAGTGTACAGTACATATTGACTTCCTAACATGAGGAAAATCCTGTGCTTTAATTGAACTGCCTTATGGGAATGATTCCCATAAAAAAAATGTGATGAGGTGTCCCTACAGATGTCATTTACCTCAAAAATATTCGTCTTCCTTACCCGCAGAAATCAAGTCCCTCCATGAAGTGCCTCCCTGTGTCCCTGACAATTACCAGGTGAACTCTGATAGACTAAGGCTTCTAGTGTTATTGTTAAATATTGCAAGAAACAGTCTCATATACTGTCAGTTTGAGTGAGCTAGGTCAGCTGAAAAATTTGAGCATCTGTTTTAATACTTGGTTGCCAATCCTTGACAGATTTTATGCATAGACTTTTTCAGATGCAATATTATTAACATTTTTAAGTACTCATTGTTCATATCCCCAGTTTTTGAGCTTTAAATAGTTAATAAAAATTATAAATTGCAGTACTTCACATGCAGCAAAAATTTTATACTGTACTGTTTGCTTTGGTCATGTTACTGTCATCCTGTTACATACCTACTCTTTTTTTTTTATTGGTAAAAAGTTTGTTTTAAATATTAGTACTGTAATTTAGATGAGTTTTGTTGATAACTTTATAACTAGGGAAGGATTACAATATACCCTTAAATTTTAAAAGGTGTTTAATATTACATTATTTGCAGAGTTGGAAACTTCTATGAATCAGAGATGTCTGTGAAGAATATATATACTGATGAAAGTAACAGGTAATGAGCAAATCACAATAGTTTGTGTTACAGAGATTTGCAATTTAAAATTTACTCTTAATAGTCTAAACTCAAAAACATTGATGTGAATAATTTTTATGCATTTTCATTTGAAAGTGGATGTATAGTACTGAAAAATGGACTATGCATAAACACATGTTGACAACCTGATATAATTAAAGGGCAGGATCAGTTATACAGAAGCAGTTGTATCATCTTATTCTAGTTCTCATCAAATTTGTCATGCAAATTTTTAAAAAGATTCTTATTTACAAAACTACAGTGTAAGTTTACAAATATAAGAGTTCAATTTTTTATTTACTTTTTCTATTTAATAAGAAATGTAAGGAGTGAACAGACCTGCCTTCTCTAAGTAGTATGTGCAGCTCTAGTAGTTGAATTTTACCCACGTTTTATTAAAAATGAGAAATATTCATTTTGATGCAAGTGCCATTCATTCTGCCTGGTGCAGAAGGAAACAGTGACATTAATTATACTGATTTATATATATAAGTTATAAACACAACACACTGTGGGGAAGTGGAGAAAAATCCTTCCTCCATAAGCCATGCATGCCGTAAGACGCAACTAAAATGCTGGGAGCAAGGAGCTAGTAACCCCTTCTCCTGTATAAATTACTAAATGTAAAAAGAAAAACTTTTTCTTCTTTTTCACGTCACCTTGTCTTGGTAGGAGATGGCCAGTGTGTTAAGGAAAAAGAAAATGCACACACACAGTAAGACTGCAAGTCCAGTTTTTGTAGTTTCAGTTATCCATGATTTACTCTGGCTTGAAAATAACCCTTAATGTTGCTTAATAATGACACCAAAGTGCAAAAGTAGGGATAGTGACAGTTCTTCAAAGCCTAAGAGAAGTCGTGAAGTGCTTCCCATCAGTGAAAGAGTGCTAATTCTTGACTTGTCATAGGTTTCAGGTATCTGCGGAATAAATAAATAAATGTATTTATACATATATATATTCAACAAACCAGCTGTATCCCACCAAGGCAGGGTGGCCCAAAAAGAAAAACTGAAATTTTTCTTTTTCTTTCAACACACCGACCGTATCCCACTGAGGCAGGGTGGCCCAAAAGAAGAAACGAAAGTTTCTCCTTGTACATTTAGTAATATATACAGGAGAAGGGGTTACTAGCCCCTTGCTCCCGGCATTTTAGTCGCCTTTTACAACACGCATGGCTTACGGAGGAAGAATTCTGTTCCACTTCCCCATGGAGATAAGAGGAAATAAACAAGAATTAGAAAGAAAATAGAAGAAAACCCAGTGGGGTGTGTATATATATATGCTTGTACATGTATGTGTAATGTGATCTAAGTGTAAGTAGTAGTAGCAAGACATACCTGATATCTTGCAAGTTTATGAGACAGAAAAAAGACACCAGCAATCCTACCATCATGTAAAACAATTACAGGCTTTCGTTTTACACTCACTTAGCAGGATGCAAAACAAAAGCCTGTAATTGTTTTACATGATGGTAGGATTCCTGGTGTCCTTTTTTGTGTCTCATAAACATGCAAGATTTCAGGTACGTCTTTCTACTTCTACTTACACTTAGGTCACACTACACATGTACAAGCACATATGTATACACCCCCCTCCCTCCTGAGTTTTCTGCTATTTTTTTTCTGGTTCTTGTTTATTTCCTCTTATCTCCATGGAAAAGTGGAACAGAATTCTTCCTCCGTAAGCCATGCGTGTTGTAAGAGGTGACTAAAATGCCGGGGGCAAGGGGATAGTAACCCCTTCTCTTGTATAAATTACTAAATTTGGTGGGATACAGCCAGTTTGTTGAAATATAAATTATATATATATAATGTCGTGCCGAATAGGCAGAACTTGCGATCTTGGCTTAAAAAGCAACGCTCATCTTGCCATATAAGACAAGCGAAAATTTGTGTATGCAACAATTTCACCAAAATCATTCTGAACCTAACAAAAAAAATATATTTCACTGTTTGTTTAATATTAAATTACTGTAAACAAATCTAAAATAAATCTAAAATATATTTGACTCAAGAAATCGTAATGACACGATTGCAAACAAACCATACCCCCGGCCGGGATTGAACCCGTGGTTAGGCTAAAATAAATTGCTCTTGTTATAATAAGGTTAGGTAAGTTTTCTAAGATTCTTTTGGTGCAAAATTATAAATTTTTACATTAACATTAATGAAAAAAATATATCTTTAAACGTATAAGAGAAAATTTCAGAAAGGAATTAATTTTAAGTGAGTTCTTGCTAACTGACCAGTTTTACATATTCGGCATGACATATATATATATATATATATATATATATATATATATATATATATATATATATATTATATATATATAATATATATATTATATATATATATTATTATTATTATTATTATTATTATAACCACGGAACGAGTGGTATTGATCAATAACAACACTGCACTAGCCAAGGAGCCGCTTTGGGGGCTTGCGGAAGGTGAACTTGATGTAGACTTATCGTCTACCTTCACCGGCAGGAGAATGTTGGAACTTATTCGGTTCTAAGTTCCACAGGGTAAATAAGCTGTATGAATCCCTAATTCCAGATAGACCATCTGAGTTTTGCAGCCCTCACATCCACCCAAAACAAACACACACAGGTTGGCGGAGGTAGTTGGAAGATACGTCTTAATTGATAGATTTACCCTTCAGGGAAGGTGTATGTAGGTTTATACAGTTAGTAACTAATATTAGGATTATTGAGGCAACTTTAGATATTAATAATATAATCCTAGGACTTTAACATAGGTAGGAATAGGCCTTTAATATAGTCAAACACTAAGTTATGTTAGCTAAGGAGAACTTGCAGCCCCCCTCCCCCCAATTCAAACATGGGGCTGCCAGTTTTCCTTAGCTAACATATCCTAGTGTTTGACTATATTAACCCTTTGGGGGTTTCAGACGTAATAGTACGTCTTACGACCCAGGGTTTTTGATGTACTAGTACGCCTAAATTCTAGCGCCCTCAAATCTAGCGAGAGGAAGCTGGTAGGCCTACATATGAAAGAATGGGTCAGTGTGCGCAGTATAAAACAAATCCTGCGGCACACAGTGCGTAATGAAAAAAAAAAACTTTGACCATGTTTTTGGATTAAAACAGCGACTTTGCACTGTATTTTTGTATGGTATTTATTGTTGTATTCTAGTTTTCTTGGTCTTATTTTATAGAATGGAAGACATATTACAGAAATTGAGATGATTTTGACTGGTTTTACAATGAAAAGTACCTTGAAATTGAGCTTAAATTAGCAGAAATGTTCGATTTTTACCAAAGTTCAAAAGTAAACAAATCATGCCAAGCGTCCAATACACATCAACTGGCGAGTCTAATATTCTTTCACAAGTGCGCTGATATTATTTGTACCATTTCTACACTAATGCAGTAGTCTGCATAACAGTAAATCTTTATTCTTACAAAAAAAATAAGATTCAAAGTGGAAAGCCAAAGAAATATAAGAGGGGCCTGGGGATGTGAATAACGAACAGAGAACTTGTTATTTTAGTGCGAGGAATGTCTTTGTTTATTCTGGACCCTATTCGGAAATTGGTATCTTTTGAAATTTGTGTGAAATTTGCTAAATTCTGACCACTTTATTGGATAGTTGAAATCAGTAAATGGGTGGTTTCTTGTACTCATTTGATAGAAAAAATGAAGTTCTAGCGAAATAGTTATTATTTTTGTCGACTAGTACATTGGAATTGGCCAAAAATAAGGCTCAAAATCGCTGATGCGTAAACATCGTCGAGACCGCTAACTTCGTGAGAGCATAATTACGTAAGTTTTCTATCAAATTTCATACTTTTGGTGTCATTATGATCGGGAAAAGATTCTCTATCTTAAATAAGAAAAAATAATTTTTTTTTTTAACCCTTAAATGGTCCAAACAAATCGACGTTCAAATTCGTAGTGCTACAAAAGTAGATCTACTTTTTTTTACACATTTTCAAATGTAAAACAAAAAAGATGACCTACATTTTTTACATATTTTCAGATGTTGAAAAAACATGTATATACGTTTGGACCATTTAAGGGTTAAATTTGGCCGACCCTGAGAACAAGTCTCTGAGAGGACCTGCCGACCCCCAAAGGGTTAAAGGCCTATTCCTACCTATGTTAAGGTCCTAGGATTATATTTTTAATATCTAAAGTTGCCTCAATAATCCTAATATTAGTTACTAACTGTATAAACCTACATACACCTTCCCTGAAGGATAAATCTATCAATTAAGACGTATCTACAGAATATGTACATTCTGTAGGCACAGTGCAGTGTTGTTATTGATGTGTGTGTGTGTGTGTATTATATATATATATATATATATATATATATATATATATATATATATATAATATATATATAAGGGAGGGGGTAAAGGAGGTTTTGTGTGCGAGGGGCTTGGACTTCCAGCAGGCATGCGTGAGCATGTTTGATAGGAGTGAATGGAGACAAATGGTTTTTAATACTTGACGTGCTGTTGGAGTGTGAGCAAAGTAACGTTTATGAAGGGGTTCAGGGAAACCGGCAGGCCGGACTTGAGTCCTTGAGATGGGAAGTACAGTGCCTGCACTCTGAAGGAGGGGTGTTAATGTTGCAGCTTAAAAACTGTAGTGTAAAGCACCCTTCTGGCAAGACAGTGATGGAGTGAATGATGGTGAAAGTTTTTCTTTTTCGGGCCACCCTGCCTTGGTGGGAATAGGCCAGTGTGATAATAAAAAAATAAAATAAAAAATATATATATATATATATAAAATATATATATATAATATATATATATATATATATATATATATATATATATATATATATATATATATATATATATTATATATATATATATATATAAACACACACACACACACACACACACACACACACACACACACACACATCTGTATTTATAAATTACTCAAAGAATTGGTCCCCCTCATCCCTTCTTAAAAATCATAGATGTGGACTGGAATGATTATATTCCATATTTAATTTCTAGTATTTTTTTCAATGAAATAAGAAAATATGTATAATCAGAGATGGGTCCTTTGCTTTCATGTTCCTATTAACCAAGGTAAAAGATACAGAGTGCTTTAGATTACCTCAGACAAGTACCAAAACACGTTGGCTGGCTAAATTCACATATTTTCTCATGAATTCTCGAGGGTCAAAATAATAACAAATGCTGAAAAGTGAGTTTACAGCTCCTGGCAAGTAGTGGGGGATTTTTTTTTTTTTTTTTGGCCAATTCAAAATTATGTTCTGTAAATGTTCATTATATGGGGGGTCAACTTGTATGTATTTCATGCATGTTTTTGCTATAATGTGAAAGCTATCTTGAAAGGATCACGATAAATGAAGGTTTTCTACAGTACATAGCTGTAGATTTATATTTTTTAACATGCCAGCCATCTCCCACTAAGGTAAGGTGCCACATCTCACCCTCTCAAGAAAAAGGCAAAACAAATTCACTATCAAACGCTGTCTTGCCAGAAGCATACTGACATAGTTCAGATGGTCCTCCAGACTGCTACATCCTCACCCCTCCTTCAGAGTGCAGGCACTGTACTCGAATCTGGCTAACCACTTTCCTAAATCCGTTCATGTCACCTTACACTTTTAACAGCATGCCCATTAAAAACACCTTGTCTCCATTCACTCCTAACAAGCTCAAACAAGCCTGCTGTATGTTCAAACTCCTAAAAACTCAAAGCCTGCTTTACCTCCTCCAACCCCTATTTATATACCCTTGTTATCCTATCCCTTGCCATCTTCTTGACATGCCAAAATCACCTCAAGAACTCCTTGGTCCATCAGATTTTACCTCTGGTGACTCCAAACTCCCTTTAAATTTCTAAACTCCAAATCCCTTGCATAATATTCACACCAAGCATTCCTCTCAAACATGA